TATAAATATAGTACTTGCTTCAGTTGTCTTCAAAACCTACAGTATACTGCTTTGTTTTGTTTTTCTGAAATGTCTACAGAGGTGAAAATGTTTTTCCAGTTAGGGGTATGCTCACGTACAGGCTTGTCTTATTTTTTCTCCTTTATGTTTTTGTCCACAGGGTGCACCAGGTGAACCTGGTCTGTCCATCATTGGACCAAGAGGTCCTCCTGTAAGTTTCCTTACTTCTTTCAACACATAGTGGAGTGTTTTCAGTAGACCTCTGCCTCACACATCAGCTTCAGAGACACAAACACACTCCTTGGACTTCTGTTTTCACTTCAGCTGATTAGACTAAACTACTGGAGAGACTTGCTCTTCCTTTGCTTTATGGGGTACTGAGCTCAGTTTGACGTAAGCCCAGCCAAGGTGTCTTTATTTAAAAGTGGGTGAATGCGCCACAAATGATAGGATAATGCTATATAATTACAGACTGTGTGGAAACAGCAGCATTGTGCATTAGGATTGGAATTAAGAGTTGGCTATGGGTTGGACTATTAGTCATGTTTGTTTTATACAGAATCAAAGTGAGCACTTCCATTCAGAGCTGCTTTAGGTTGGTGGGAATGGTTTAGACACCAGTTTTTAATGGAAGGCCAGATTTATACAGTCTTTTTTTGCTCTTTAGCTGTAAAAAAGAATAATGCAGCTTCATAAACTGCCCAATGTATCCTTAAAAAAAGAAGAAATTCAAGAGTCTAGCCAATGTAAGTGGAGCACACATCTGTTTTTCTAATTGATGTTATTGTGATCTGTACTGGTATGTGCCCACTCTTCCTGGATGGTAATAGGCAGCTATAATGAATAACAGGCAGAAGAGAAGCTTTGCACAGTAGGAGCCAAGTTCTAATCTCAGAGAAGCAGTCAGTCAAAAACACTTTGGAAGCTAGTTTACCGCAGCAGGAGAGACTGACATTAGAGACTCCAGTCCTGACCCGGAGATGAAACAAGGGACTTCATTCAAAAGGAGAGGTGGGAAAATGAAAGGAAATGACATCTCCTGCAAGCCAAGGGCCTTGATTTCTTCACCACATTGTCGTACCGTCAGGTCGGACGAATGTGTGCGAATATATTTTCCAAAGCTTGGTTAAAACTGGCAGCAAAGCTGTTTAAGAAAATACACAGAGCAGGTCTCTGCTTAGGAGAAAGGATGCTCTTTTTAATTTAAGACAGATTCAAAATCAGTCACATTTTAGCTGAAAGTCGGTGAGTCAGAAAGCTGAAATAAATCCACTCTTTAGCTTTTCCTGGAAATTTAGAGGCAAAGAATGGTGGTTCTACAGTTAGTAAGCACATTAACATTGTTTTTTTTCTCTGTCACACATCTTTGTTACATCACAAAGACACGCTCCTATTAAATATACTCTCCAGAGCCCTCTGCAGCACCCCTTGTGTCAAAATCCATTTCACTAGTTAATGCATAAACAAAGCAGAGGAACTGAAGGATAGGAAATGTGTCTGTTCTCTCTGATCTGCCTTTTTAACACATTTTGATCCCAGACCCTCAGCGGTAAATCGTTGCTTTTCTTTCTCTCTTTAGGGACAACCGGGTACAAGAGGATTTCCAGGCTTTCCAGTGAGTCACACTGATACATCAAATGATGCAATATTTATCCGTGTTACAGCTGTAAATGTTATATATTTTAAATTAAACAAAAAAAATCAGCAATGAATAATACACATAGAGTAGCCAGAGATGCATGAAAGCATGGCTGAGGAAGAAGAGGCTGCGGATAGTTGTTTGACCTGCCATCATGTTTCAAATAGAGCATGTGTGGAGAAGTGTGAAACCAGAGATGAGACCACAACGTACTGCTGCACAGTTTGTGATGTGTTGTAGAAGGAGTAGAACATTGTGACATGTTTCAACTGAAACACTTCATCAGTTGATATTGTCAAATAAAAGCTGTCTCTTAGCTTCTATGAGAGGGTATGGAACTAAAGGGTTTTACAATCTTCACCTTCCCAATTCATTTGAACATTTTTTAACTTTGAAATGAATATTTTAAAAGAAAAACAAAGCTTAGTTAGACTAACCATCAGAGTTGCCAGATAGGAAATGATGAAATATCATACTGCTGCTTTAAAAGTAGTTATTTTGACTAAAATTATTGCATGTATAAAGTCAGGGCGCAGCTTCTCACCCAGTGAAGAGAACATGTGCACAGTAAAGAGTCGGGGTTACCCACCCGGTCATCACACACATCTGGTTGGATCAGACAACAATTTGTGGAGTTTCATTTGAACATTGTTGTCTTTTGATAACAGAAATGCCAAAGCAATCCAATATTTGGGCTTTTTAAAAAGTACTTTGTTATTATTATTTTTTTTAATTAAAAAATAAAACATTTAATAAACAAAACTAAAATTTCAACACAACACAAAATCATTAAACGAAAGGGAGCAGAAAGAAGAAAAAAATCTTAAAAGTAAGTAAGTAAAATTGTATTTATAAAGCGCCTTTCACAGAAATGGAATTCACAAAGTGCTGAACAATAATCGAACACAAATAGAAATACAGAAATACTGGACAATTACATTACAGATGATCAAATTCTATAATGATGTCTGCCCCATTTAACAAAAAACTAAAAATTTCAAATATCTAATAGTAATAAAAAAGATTACAACTACACAACCAGCAGCTTGTATGAATGCCTATTATGTATTTTCACATTTCTTAAAAAAATCAGATTTTACCAATCTTCCAAATAACTTAGTTGAACAAGCATTTTTATAATTGTTAACCAAATTGTTCCATATTCCTTGAACTGAGGTACATCTCTCTTTCAAGTTAGTTTGGATTTTGGGTTTCACAAACATTTCAAATCCTTTAAGATTATAAATACTTTTACTCTTAATGAAATTTGATTGAATATTCAAAGGTAATGTGTTTTTATGAGCCCTATACATAATTAGCAAAATATTATAATCAACCAACTCATGAACCTTCAACAATTTCAACTGACAAAATAATATATTTGATGGAAGATATACTATTTCCTGGCTACAATCCTTATGGCTCTTTTTTGCAAAATAAAAATAAACTTTGTAATTGTTTTACATGCCTTTCCCCAGACATTAAATCAGAACACATTAAACATCAGACAAAAAACATCAGACACATTAAATCAAATGTGGAACAATTATTGCATTATATAATAAAAATAGTGCTTCATCATTAAACAATTCCTTTACCACATATAATACTGCAATACTACAAAGTATTTTTGCTTTTAAGCAATTTATATGAGACTTCCAAGTCAAATTTTGTCAATGACGACACCCAAGAACTTAAACTCACTGACTGTATCTCATCACCCTCGACTCTAAATGAAAGATTGACCATTCCTTTTCTATTACTGAGTATCATATAATTAGTTTAGTCTAAATTTAATGATAATTTATTAAGCTTAAACCAATTTTGTATTTTTACAAATTCTGTTTGCATCATTTCCATCATTCGCTCTAAATTTTTACAAAAACAAAAAATGTGGTATCATCTGCAAACAAAACACATTTAAAGAACCCCGACATATTTACCAGATCATTTACATATAAGAGAAACAACTTTGGTCCAAGCACAGAACCCTGTGGAACTCTGGCCTATAATATCACCAAAGTTAGGTCGTACATCATTTATTTGAACAAATTGTTTCCTGTTTGTCAGATAACTAGATAACCACTGTAAAACTGGACCTCTCATGCCATATTTGAACAATTTTACAGAGGTAACAGGGAAATGGGTCTGTAGTTGGTAAAGTTAGATTTCTCATCATTCTTATGAGTAGGAATTACCTTTGCTGTTTTCATGCCGTCAGGAAATTTCCTGTCAAAAACTAAAAATGACAAATGTACTGTATGTAAACAGCTCAATAACATAACCCATTATTTCCTTCACAAACGTCATGTCCATGTCCATCCAGTCCTTTGACTTTTTGTCAGCAAATAGTTTTTTTTACCATATTCATTATTTCTTCTTTGTCAGTTCTGTCAAGAAAAAAAAAACTGTTGGTACAACCCATTACTGTATGAGTTACACTATCATTTACATTTGCTATTTTAGCAGCAAGACTTGGGCCAACATTCACAAAGTAATAATTAATTTACAATTTCATTCTTCTCATAGATTTCATTGCCATAATGCACTTGTCAAAACTTAGCATTTCAATATATTCAGATTTTGCCCTTTTTTTTACAGGGACTATTGTCTTGAAATATTTTATATTTTTACTCTTCTTGATTTATATGCACTCAAAACTCCTATTTTTTCTGTTTCCACAGGGTCCTATTGGGTTGGATGGCAAACCAGTGAGTTTCTTTGAATCCCTGTTGAAAAGCATAACTAATGGATGATTGAGTGATTCTTCATTGCCCAGATTCCTGTTTCCTGTATTATTGCTGAACATAAATAAATAACTAAAAAATACTGTAATTAGCATAATTAAACTTCACCGATGTTTTACGGCTGATTAAATGGTAAGGTTAAACATGGTGTGGAAATTTCAGAGAAGTTATTTTATGGCAACTTAAGAGTTTTGAATAATTGATTGGTTTATTTTACTACCTGCCTCTCACTGTTTTAATGTTTCTACAGGGGCTAAATGGACTAAAGGGAGACTTGGTAAGTATTCCTTTCATATGTTCATACTGTAATTAACATGTTGATACTRCAGTTCCAAGTACTAAAAAACATAGTGGTGATCAGCTTTATGCAGTACACTTAGTCTGAGACGCTTGTTGAAGGTRAAACATGGAGAACTATGTGATTTCTCAAAAAGTATTTTTGTATTTCCACTAGMTTGTACCCCACCTTGTACCCAGTGGTTGCCATTTTGTACAAAGCAATTATGATTTCGTTCTCAGCAGTTGACTGAGTACCAAAAAGGTGTAAAATGAAAATGTTTTTACTTACCATGTGCACCGCCCTTCACTCACATATGCATGTTTCAATAAAGGCACCAGCTCCTGGCAGTCAAGCTGTGCTTTAATTCAGCTACTATACATGGAATCTGATTATTTTTGTAAGGATTTTTCATGATARCTTGTAAAAACAAAAAGTGCTTACACTTTGTGGCAACAATTACCAGGATGTGTGTAACGGCTCTGTCATGGTCCTTAAACATCTATGTGTCAGGGAATGAATGGATGCACCTGTGTAATAATTTCAATTATCACATTTAGTTYATTTTTGTTGATCGCAAAATAAGAATCCCTCCTCCTTCGGTACAGCTAGAAGAAACTTCTCCAACTCCTGCAATCACGCAGTTGCAGAAATAYGTGTCAGACTGCAGATTTACATGAAATACAGAAAAAGAACAACTTGCCCTCCCTGTGATTTTAGGTGAATAAATTTTCAAATTATTATAAAACTTAATTTCAGTAGCACTTCAGTTAAAAAAATGTCTTTAGATCAATTTTATTCAGAAAACATAGAGTGTGACAGCCTCTAACACACAGACCTGACTACAATGCTGTCACATTATTTAAAAATGTGTTTATCTTTAATTTAAAAGTGCATTCCAGTAGATTTAACCATCCATGTTAGGGCAACTGCCAAGGTGGGGCTGAACAGGGTAAAACTGGCCAAAGCAACTGTGACAGTGAGTAGAGAGCAGAGACTTATGAATTAAAGTTATTCACCCAGAAAGTAGGGGTGCATGGTAAGTAAAATGGCAAACATATAATTTGTGGRAAAGACAAATTGACCTGCAGCCACTGAATCCACTAATCAAAGATAAGTGCTGACTTCTAAACTGAGTTGCAGAGTAACTGGTTTAAATTTGACTACATAATATTATAATTTAACACTTACTTACCTTTTTTGGTATATTGACCTGAGACCATTTGTTTTATATAAATATAAAATAACTAAACTAAACAATACCAATTTGAATCTAAAGTCAATTTCATAACAAAGGTAAAGCATAAAATGACTTTCACAATCAACTACATATAAATTTACTGTTCCAAGGTAATGAGTCTAAAAAAACTCCCACTTTTGCTCAATAAACTTGTGCCGACTTCCTTTAGCTCATGTAAACTCCAACAAAACACACTAAATCTCCTTAAGAGGAAATAAAAAATAAAAAAACAAAGATTAATGGCCCTATTCTACTCTTAAATGTCACAGAATGTTGAAGTGGGGTTTAAAGAGTTGTCTTGTAAATGTGAAATGATGTTGTTCTATGCACAATGTGGAGCTTGCTCAGTCTGTGAGGTYACCAGCATGTGGTGCCTTGGATGTGTCCTACTGGGTCCTTTTCTAGAGTCCATTAATCAACCAGTGGCTGACTTCTGACAGCAGCTTAAACTGGGTTCACCTATAGGATCGAATGGGAAGTCAAACTGTGTGCCTACGTCTCCAGTGCGTGCAACAGACTCCCGAGGCAGTTCATTTATCAGTTTGATTGATACTTTGACATTTGACCATGTAACTCATGTGGCTTAACTGCAGTCTTTAGTTTATAGAAAGCTGCACAGTAAAAAATTATATGTTTTAAGACAGACCTTGTTGTTGCTCTCCTTTTCAGGGTCCTCGTGGTCCTAAAGGAAACCCAGTAAGTTTGTGGAGTCTGTTATCAAGCCTGCGATAGTTATCTGCTTATCTTTTCGTTGAACCATCCAGGCCTCTTTTATTCACCTTGTGTGTTTGTTTTATTTTACTTTCAAGGGAGAACCAGGACCCAAAGGGGAGAAGGTGAGTTATGCAGCAGTTTGACAATCTGCCAAATAACAATAAGAATGAAAACAAAGGAATTTGAATAAARCCCCCATAAATTCTTGTCTAAAATTGAATTTCGACTCACAATTCATAAAAATAGAATTCTTTACCTATTAGTGTATTTATTGTTTTTCTTCCTGTTTTCTTCAGGGTGTATGTGGAGACTCAACRCACCGGGTAAGAAAATTTAATTGGGGTTGTTAATTCACTCGTTAGTTTCACAAGTAGTTACCTCTCAAATGGTGTGTGTACAACTATACTATTTAAACACATGAACCTGTGTTAATGTCAATGTCAAATTACTTTTGACATTTTATTTTAATGCCAAAAAGTTTTGGAGAGGCAGTAGACGGAACAACCAAAGGTGGGTGGCGCAGCATTGGGTACCACATGTGGAACTCTTCAGGTCTTTGGCTTGCCGTCTCTGGGGTTTGGCCTGCTGAAAGAAAAAAAGGTTAATTATCGGTGGCTTGTTGGACCGTACTGTCAGATGTGATAAGAGCCTGTGTGGAGCTGCCAAGACTAAGAGTCTCCTGTGTAATGGCATATTTTCAGACGGTTAGTCTATTTTCAGCACAACATGGCCCTCTGGTTGTTAAACTTTTACGGCATTGGTTGTTTTTTTTTACTAAGTATTTGCTAACTATTTTAAAAGCCACTGAAAATAAAAGTGAGACGTATGACTCAAAAATAATGCTCAGATATGCATCTCAGAATAATAAATCTGTCAGACGAGATGAATTTAAATATGGGGAATTAGGAAGTGAAAATAACCAGAGAACGATATTTTGATATTTTTAACTTGCACAAGTAAATCCCCTCTTTCTAGAAGTTGTGTGCCTGTTGGATTTGCTTTGCATACACTTTTCAGARCCCCTGCAGCAATCTGTTTGGGAGGTCTAATCCCTACGTCTGCTCACACTCCAGCCCTCAATCCTGTAGTGAGTCTCATGGGGGTTTAGGGGGAGGGGTGCTGTTTGCAGGGGTAAAATTTTCTGCTTTCAAAGAGTTTGCTATTCTACAGGAAGCTTGCAAAATTAGCAATCTAGTGTAAAACATTCATTTCATCAGTGCAGAGCACGGCTTACCCTAGTGTTAAAACTGGTAGCTAATCTTGCTCTGTTAAAAGTGTTAAAACGACTAACATATCTGCCATTTAAATGACATAACTCAGTTGAAACTGGATGACTGTTTACTCATACAGAAGGAAGAATGCAAACATGACAATTTGCACTTTGATGGAGAGATGTTTGGTAACTGTACTGGYAACATTGTGCACATTATCTTTATTAAAACTATACTCACTGAAGAAACAAAAGTGTACCACCCTGATGGGATGGCCTAATGTGGATGTAATTTGGTCCACATGCAGACCAAATAATTCAGGTTTTGAGGAGCCGTCATGCCTGAAACAGGCACTAGAGGGCAGGTAGCATCATGAACCACAGTGTTATCACATTTGAACATTCAACAGTCAAAACAGTAAGTGAAGGTCATCAGATACAAAAGATGTCTCATAGACTCATTAGATAGCATATTGTCCCTGTCACCTAAGACTGACACGCSATGGAACCATTGTTGTAGACTGGACTGATGATGATATTGTATCATGTTCAGCAATAAATATCACCTCTGCATTACCAAAAATGACCATTGTGTTACAGCAATAGAAGGATAGGACCGATCTCATTAGCGATGTGAAGAGTCAGACCAATGTTATCCTAACATACTGGTGTAGGGAGCTGTAACATATTCAGGAGATGTCTGGTTTTGATTTAGGGACACTGATTGTACAGAATTACATGAATGTCTTGTACCAGCATGTCTCAYTCCTTACTAATATAGAACCACAGTACAGTATTTCAATAACTCAAATTTATGTAGGGTAAAAGAAAAATCTTGGTGAACCTGAAGGTCAGCACAGTGTCCTGGGAGTGTCTTGAGGCATCGCCATCTGAAAAAAGGCACTGTAAAACCAAATGTTACGACACCACTCGATGTGATTGATGCCTGTCATTGGTTCACAGAGCACATGTGTATGAATAGCCTGAWTCAGGCTGTAATACTCCTGTAAATGGTAAATGACCTAAACTCATATTAAGTCCAAGGACTCCAAAGCATTTCACACTACAGTCATTTTCCCATTCATACACCTTCACTCTCTGATGGTGGYAAGCTACATTGTAGCCACAGCTGTCCTGAGGGACACTAACAGAGGCAAGGCAATACACCGGTGCTACCAGACCCTCTGACCACCACCAGCAAGCAATGTGGGTGGTGTCTTGCCCAAGGACACAACMACTGAAAAGGATGGAGCTGGGATTTGAACTGACAATGCACTGGTTGCAGGACAAACCCCTACCTCCTGTCACCACTGTCATCCTGCAACCAACCAGGTCCCTTGATCTTTCCCCCCATGTGTGGGCTCAGCTCAGATCACAACTCTGACCCAGTAATGATCTGCTGGACCCCAAAGGACCATCATTGGATTGACTTACTTCAGGGGAGGATACAACTGTATGACTTTGTTCAGCTGCAAGCCACCTCTTGTATCAGACCCAATGAGGGGCCATACCCTACTGATATGAGACATACAATTGCCACTTTGTTAGTAATTTCATCTGAAATTGTAAGCATTGAAATAGTCAGATAAACTTTCAAGTTAATTTCATTTCAACCACTGCTTCTGGATGCTTAACTTTTAGTTTTGTTAGTGAGTATAATTTTAAGGTAGAATTCCAACTAACATATAATTTACATTTTTACCAAACTTAAAATGAGACCAAATTGTAAATCAAGATCACAAAAGGGTTTCTGGTTTCCTGTTTTTTTTTAATTATTATTATTGTTGTTCTATATGCTGTTAAAATAATCAAGTCCAGTGTGTATTCCAGCTCTGAACTTAACATGCAAGGGGTTACTGTGCATCCTTTAAATTCTAATATGTGAAAAAGAAGAAATCGGTTTCGACCAGTATATTCAAGGGGGTTGTTAAAATTTCAAGTTTCTTCCATACCACCACTGACTGAAATGACCACTTCCCTCAAATATAGGGCCACTTTGTCCAGGACCTTCCTCTGAAAACCCTGGCTGCCTTGCGTTCCAGTCAGGCTCTGATGTTAAAGGTTTGTGGGTGCCAGAAACACCCTGCAGGGGGCATCACCAAGTCGTGCCGCAAAGAGAGCCATTGCCTTGCTTGGGCAAAGGCACTCCTCATTTCCTCTGCTCTCCACCATCAAAAACATTAGCAAATTTTAAAATTCTGGCAGTTGAAAATGTTACTGTTTTTACTTTTTTTCTTACAAATTGTTTTTTTTTAACATCTTCATCAGTGTAAACACACATAGGGAGTTATTACATGAACATCTTTGCATTTTTATTAAATCTGCAACATCCCGTGTATTTTTTAATCAAGTATGGTGGATAGCTGGAATTGATGAGGGACAAAGCAGCACACTTGCCCACTTTTTCCAAATCTACACCCCTAATTATGTGTACATATTTCCATAAAATTTGCCCTTTTTCAAATTTTAAATCATCCAGCTCATCCAAGCTGTAGAATCATCTTTTCTATTGAAAGAAAACAAAAACAGTGAAAGCAGTGTTTACATTTCAATTTTTGGCATTAAAAAATTGTGGAAATATCTACACTCTGTAAAAAGAAGGCAAGTCGCCTGCAGATGGAACTACTTGGTGTCAGTTGGGAAACATTGCAAGCACTAAACAGGGTTTTACCTGTGCCTCTGCTAAACCTGTATCTGATAATGCTGGTCATCTCAACAGAAGCGGCGTATTGTACAGACCTGTGTTGGACAGATGGCCTCAGTAAGTCTGGACAAACTCTACAACCATACTGCTGTACTCTCTTTGTGGCAAGACTGACGCCTACCGCTGCTCTGCTGCAAGCTAAGGGTCTGGGTCTCTCTGAATGGGGATGCTGGTGTACACATTTGCTGCAAGATCGTTTGTTATAAAAATATCATGCTAGAGAAATTTGGTTTATTTTTAATTAAACATTAAAGTATGCCAACATCCCCCTTAGCCACTCCAACCCCTTGGTTTGCTGTGCAGGTGCCTATTTTTTGTATCCTGTTTCTTTCCAGCTTTGTTTTGTTTTTCTTATTTGACTTCCCACTTCCTGGCTTTTCATTATCATGTTCTATTTCTCTTTTTCTTCTACACCCCTCCCCCTTTCTTCCCTCATTTTCCCGGTTCTTTCCTGTTTCCTTTTGTCTGGCCTCCTGGCAACCTTTGCCCCRTGACTTTTTTGCAATGCTGGCCACCTGTGCTTTGTGACTTCCCTTGGCAGTATTTGCCCATCACCGTCCGCAATATGCCCTCAATAAACCCTCTAATCCTAAAACGCCTCAAGGTACAAATTCTCTCCACTCCCTTTGGCCCGCCGTACGGATGCCAGCTGACAACATCTGTCACCAAAAACTTCCCAACTCTGCTTTGCCATCATGCTAATTAATCAAACTTTTGGCTGCTGCTGCTTTTGAATGCTTATAATTAGGACCAAAAGTTTTCTGTCAATGATGCAAATATGAAAAGTGTTTTTTTATTGAATTATATTGGCATCAACTATTCCTTGGAGGAATGCATACTCGTACAAGAGATTTGAAATAAAACCATCTTATGTTGAGAAATAATGAAACTGATGGTTTGATCAAAGCTTGAACTTAATGTTATGCCCAATTTATGTGATACTAGAWGAACTGTTAGAGATTTATGTATGGGTTATAAATGCCTCTTATCTCTTACCACACCCAAACTTCAACTCGATATCTGTCATACATGTCAACCCCTTCGGACGTTTACCTATATAATGAGCCAAAAAAAAAGGATGAGAAAGATGGTTATTACCATTGATGTTATTTATTGATTTTTCAAACATGGTTCTGACATGTTAAATAAATTTAAAACAGAGTTTTGGATTAAAAAATGTGGGCAAAAATCCATGTGGTTGTTCTACACATCTTTATCCCTGCAAAATGATGGAAAATCCGTGTACATTATGGATAATCCGTACAACTTGACATGTATGATCTGTAGTTATAGCCATCATTGTGTCAGCTAAGGTTGATTAGCTGCTGCAACCATCTTGAATAGGTTAGACTTTAAAAGGCAGCAGATGTGCATGCAATCATTATTTTCTGAGAGTTTCATTAAAACCTGTCCAGTGGTTAAAGTATTTTGGTAAAAAAAAAAAATACACACACATAAACTAATTACACGCACACATTGGCACAGGCAAAAACATTACTGACTTTTCTTAGGATGGCGAGTGTTTATTTTATTTGCTAACTTTATTTAGTTTAATGGGTTAATAGTTAACTCTCCAGACTTCACTGATGCATTATCTACCCCAATCTCCATGCCTCTCTTTAATTTAGAAAGATAAAAGAAAAAAAGTTGTAACTTTCTCAAATAAATCACACTCATTAATTAGTATTATTAATACAACTAAAGGGACAAAAGCACTAATATTAATGACTTTATCCAGCTGCTCAATCGCCACATTAATGCTCCCCAAAGAGCTGCCTTTGTGTAATTAAATTAATAGTCACATGTAGCCTGAGTGGCTTTAAGTTTTTACAACTTAATAAAATGTGTGATGAAGCCTTAGAGTGCTGCAGTTTGACTGGAACCAGCTGGCCACTCGGGCATCTGCTCTGTTCTGTTTGTCCCATTTGCTTTTGTCAGAACAGCATGTTTTATGATTTTCTACAGGCAGCTGAAGCCTAACCTTATTAGTGTGTATGTAGTCCTCGAGGAAAACCTTAAAAGGGATAAATCCATAGGACTTTCACAGAAACGTGTTCTAACAGTGGTGGTTGAGTGAAAGCAGTTTAGTGCTTTGCTTTAGGTACTTATCTAAGTCAAACCATATGTACACATTTATCATGGTCTGTAGCATAATTCACAGAATGTAATTTCATTGGCTTCTCCCTAAATGATAGATATAATGATGGATATATTCATATATAGGCATCCTCTCAATAAAATACTGGCTTTTTTGCAATCAGAAAGCGAGATTTATGAGTTGTAAAAGATGTGTAGCCAGACTTTTTTCTTATTCCCAAAGAACAGGCAGCAGATTCAGGATGTTCAGCAGCCAGACAGATTGGTTTCAGCTGACAAGACGTATTTATTATCTTCATGTCCTGTGCTTATTGTAAAATGCCTTTTACTCTAGTTTGTTTAGTCTTGGCTATGCTTAAATATCATTCCCAGAGCTTTAGCTGTCAGAAAGCGGTCTTCTGAGGAACCACACACAGATCTGTAGCCCAATTCAAAGACGCTTCAGACAAGAGCAATGCCAACATAAGAATTATTCAATCCAAAGTTAAAACACAATGACGGATCATTATATGTTAAACCAATGTGAATTCAAAGGAAAACCTTTGCGAAACCTCTGACAAGACGCTGAAAAAGGAAGATTTAGGATCACTGCCATTGATTAAAACTCGTTAGAAAGCAACATATGTCAGGGTCATGAGTTAACCAGGTCCTTGGTCATCAGCCATGGAGAGGAAACTGTCTGTTTTTTAATTTAACATTTTCCAAATTGTGAGGGACCGGTACAAGCTCTCTTAGAGACTGCAGTAAAATTCAGAAGTTTGAACTCCTCTATTATCAAGGGACCCAACTTGGTAATGCAATAGGATGAATCAGGCTTATAAGTGTTTATAAATGTGTCTGGCTTTTCTTTGAAAGTGATCGTGCCTAATTAAATGATGAGTTTCCAGGTTCTGAAAAGGACGAAGGTAACAATCCATGTATGATTCTTTCTTTGGATTTGCTGTTTGAAAATAAAACAAGAACAAAATGAATAATCAGATGTTTTTCATTTTAAAACTAAATCAATAAAATAAAAAAAGTTTCATTGTATTTTATTTTGTTTACCGTATTTATTTATTTTATTGTTTTTTTTTTTCATTTAAATGGTTAAAGCTAAGACAAGCTTTATATTTTGTTAGTGCACTACCACCGTTGGAACTGGAAATCATGGCCTAAACTCCTGGTGCATTAAGTTTTCCTTCAGCACTTTACCAAATCTCACCATGGATATTTTAGTCTTATTTAGAGGGGGTTAAAGCATCTCACTGAGTRCTGATGATCTTACTGTGAACAAAATTGTTTTATTATTCCAAGTTATGCGGTGTTTGAGTGCAGCCATTGCCAACATTTTTAGGAATGGTTTCCGTTTTTAAGACGTCTTCCAGCCATTAAAAACTCTTCTTCTTTGGCGACTTCTGTCATTTCTGGCATCGCTATAAACAGCAACAGTATTTTTTATTTTAGATTTAGATAGCTGACACAAAATGTTCACACGAACTGTTAAAACCAAAAGTTTTTTTTTTGTTGTTCTTGTTGTTGTTCAGCCAAACTTTTGTAGTTCTAAACAAGGGTTGTGTCAGAACCCCCACAGTTGTGTTTTCCTATAGTCAGGAATGAATGTTCATGCTCCAGCATCATAACTGCTTGCCTTGCTGCTGAGCTAACCTTCATGTCTGCACCATCCTCTCCCTGCCTTCCTCCACCCCAACGCCTGCTGCGTTTCCCGTGCCGTGTTGTGATGTTGTGTTAGCATGGACGCCAAAACTTTCTCCAGGATGACAGGTTGTAACTCAAGGTCTCTTAGCAGGGTGAACCTGGAGTGCAGGGACCCCCAGGGCCTCCTGGACCCCCTGGACCTGCAGGTACTCCAGGTCTTGATGGAGCTAGTGGCCCACCGGTGAGTACTACCCAGAACAAAGATGTACAACATTAATAAGCGTTAAAATCACAAAACAAAAACAATGACTGACAACTTCTCTTTTGACAAATGCCCAGTAGAAAAATCTAAGTGATTATACACTTAGACTGCTTTTACCCAATGCTGCCAATATATGAATATCCTGACACATTCAGACAGTTCTAGCTCAGGGGAGTTTAATCCTGTCCTTAAGGGCCACTATCATGTATGTTTTACTTGTTTCCCTGCTCCAACACACCTGATTCAGTGATTTAATTACTTCTTCATTTCTACAGAAGCTTGTTACATATCAGATGTGTTGGGGCAGAGAAAATTCTTAAATATTCAGGAGAGTGACCCTTGAAGACCAGGACAGGATGCCCCTGGATTAGCTGTACACTTCTTTTTTAACAACCTTCTCAGTTTATTTGACTTAGGCTAGGGAAACTACATTCAAAGTGCACCTAAAATAACCCTCAGTGCCGCTCACAGTTTTGGACAAATTCCATATTTAATTTTTTTTTCTTTACAAATCATCAAATGGAAACAAGCCACCGTGCTGCCAAAAAGGCAAAAATCCACTAATTGCAAAGAGAAAACTATTAAAAACTTGGAAAATTAGGAAAACTCCAAAATAAACTGATTAAATTTTCCTAACCACAGTCAATAAAACTGAGGGGAAAGAGTGCTGACTTAACAATAAAGACTGTGGAAACTGAATTTTCAGTACAATAGGAGTTTACTCTATAAACCGAGGAGACTGATTGCTGAATAAACTCATGCAACTCAGTAAACTGATGAAATAAACAACAGACAAAGGAGGTAAAACTGAATGCAAAGAATAAACCTTTAAAATGAATAAGGACTTGTTCAGTGGAAACATAGGTGATTTATATTAAAATATGCACAAAGCAAACTTTTGCTCTTAATTACATCATTAAATCTACATTAGCAGCTATTTAAATACTAGCTGTGACAAAAGAGATGGGTTCCATTAAGACCCTAAAAACTTACAATTGTTCCTGACAGTGAAAATATTTTTGAAATGATTTTCAGGTTTATGTAAACACACAAACATCTAACAGTGGTTCCCAAACTTTTCAGCTTTTCACCCACAAAATACTAATAGCTGTCACGACTAGGTGGTGAGGAGAACCCAAAATGCAGGCAGGCAGGCAGACCAAACTTAAAGTAATTAAAATGACTTTAATAAAGAAAAAAGCCAATGTGGTGGCAAGGTAACAAAACAAACAAACAAACAAAAAAAAACTTGGAGCATGAGGTGAGAACAAACATGGGTAAGCAATGATCGGACGCTRAAGTGATGAAGAGAAGATCCTTAAATACAAACAGGGCTGAGTGGAAGTAGGAAACAGCTGGGTGATTACAACTGAGGACAGGTGAGTGTGGCAGGCTGGAAAAATACTAAGAAGCTGACTGAGGTAAACACGGCACAGGAAACTGAAAACAGGAAATGAGAAAACAAGACAATACCAAACAATGAAAAACAATCTGAAAAATACTACCAAAAATAACCAAAACACAAGAATCATAACAGTAGCAGAGACCGGTGCCCCCAGCTGTTGTTGGATAATAAATATTGTTTTCACGTCAAATAAACAAGATCATAGTAACAATATTTATTACGCAATTTTTGTCCATTTTGCATACACTAACCTTACTTTTTTGTAACAACAAAGGCAAAAAGTTGTTGTTAGTTGTCATTTTTTAGTGTAATTTTTCCAGGAAATATTTTCAGGACCCCACAGTGCGGTCCCAACCCCAACTTTGGGAACCACTGGTCTAACATACCTACATCACGTTGAGCATCTATCATCTGTGTTTTCCTCTTCTTCTTCAGGGTAAACCAGGGGAGCCTGGCAAACCAGGAAAAGACCCAAGGGTAAAATTTGTTTTCATAAAACCATCCTCAACTTTTCAAGCTTCCTCATGTTTGCTTCTCTGACTTTACTTTTATTTTTATATTATCTGCAGCTCTTACCTGGACTGAAGGTAAAACTATATATACATGTACTTTCTTTCCTCAAAGAGTAAAAGTAGAACATGGAACGCCTTGTTCAGCTTCATCTCGACTTCTCACCATGACTTTAGAGTCAGCCAAACACACTCAGGCCCAAACATAACAAGCCTGTTTGGACCCAACCTGTCCATACCAGCTCCACCTACACAGCACCAGAGCAGATATATGTATAGTCATGGTTTTTTTAATAAGGAGAAATGTAAATTTGGAGGTCAGAACAGTCATGAATAGATCAGGCGGCAGGATAAGCCTCAGTATAAGGAGTGGATACAGTGGATGAGTTATACTTTGTGGAGGACAAGACTTCTGCTATGCAACTAAAAATCTCCCTTTTAACATTTTCCCCCTTTTTGTAAATCAAGGAGCTGTTGTAGAATACTGAATAAAACCATAAATAGGGAAAATCTATAAACGATATATGTAAAAAAATGAAAACTCAAACATTTCTCTTTAAAAGTGCTTCATCTAATAAAACGTCTGCAGAATTGTAAGCTGCAACAAGTTTTAGTTTTTTTGACAAAGCTGAAAGCACCTGTTTCTTTATTTTGATAAAAAAATATTTTCTGTTTCTTCAAACTCAACAGGGGGAACCAGGTGTTCCAGGACAAAAGGTGGGCTTCTTTCTGTGTTTCAGTTTTGAACCCCGTTGTTTTCTGTGCGGTTTGTAAAGTGGTTTTATAGGGTTGGAAACATTTACACATTCAGTTTTTACATCTCTTCTCCACATTTTTTTCTAGTATTTTTTTCAGACAGTGAGTTACAATCTAAAATTAGGCAGATTCATGCAAAATAACGTTTTTTAAAAACAGCTCACTGATTTTTTTTCTTCATTTTTACATTCTCATGTTGGACAAGGAGGTGAAGTGCAACAGCCTATCAGCAGGTGCTTAAAAAAACACAACTTCTAAATCATGACATACAACAGTGAGCAGGAAAATCAGCTCAGATGATCATTAAATTGAAACAGGTGAGCTAGTTATAAATGAGACACAGGTGAGTGGAGCTGAAAATTGAAAGGGAACTGAAGATAACAAGGAGCAAAGAAATAAAAATAAAGCAAAGTAACTCTAAAAAACTCAACTGTAAAATAAGCTCACCCCTAAAAAAAGTTAAAAAAAAAAAAAGCTTCTGTTTTGTTTTTCTTGTAGTTTTAGTAGTAGTAGTCATAAAACTTCCCACAGTGTCCAACCAGAGATAACAGAGACAGTCCCTCATGTCTGGCTTCTTGACAGTAAAGTATAATGATGTCTAATACTTAATTAAATGACTCAGTGTGTGACAAACATTGGATACATTATGGTTCTGCTATAATTCAGTTTTAAACAGAAAAATCATTTTTAAACATCCATTTATTTATTTTCTTCACCCACTTTTTCCTTTGTGGGTTGCCTATCTCAGTCCACCCTGAACAGATCCATCACAGGGCCCATTTTAAAAAGAAAAGAAAATAAGTAGGTCCTSTGGACGGGTTCTTTTTTCATGAAACGTTTCGTCTCTCCTCTAAGAGACTACTTCAGTCTGTGGAGTTTCAGCTGAAATCAGCCTTATAAGCACTGCCTCCACATGGTGGACAAACAGGTTGGTCATATGCAAAAGAGGGCCATCAGCCAACCAATAGGTTATTAGTGCCTTGATTATTATTCGCATTGCATGTGAACAAACCTTGTTTGTTGCCCTACAGACTTGTTTATTCCGCCTTTTGTTTGCTCTTAAAAATTATGTGAGTCAAAATAATAAAGTTTATATTTTTGTGTTTTTAAGGGTGACAGAGGCGATATCGGCCCAGCAGGTCCTGAAGGCTCAAAGGTATTTATTATTACAGTGTTGAAATTACATGCTTTTTTTTTTTTGGTTTACACTAAGATTAAAACTCAATAAACGTAAAAAAAAAATGTTTTAACATACCATTCAKTGTTTCATTCATTGCCTTCCAACTAGCCTTAAAAAGTGTTCCCAATTAAGATTTCATGAAAAATCTTTTAAAAATACAAAACAAAATCACACAGTTGTTGGTCCATATGTAGTATTTATTTGAACCAAAGCCTTTAGAAAATAAATTGAAATGATGTTGCAACATCTGAGAGCTGGCTGGGTGGTTTGCAGGTCCATAAAAAAACGTGTTGAGCTAAACTCGGTCTTCCTCAGAGTCGCTGTCAGCTGTGGTATCTCAATGTCACAGTTGTTAAAACTGAATTACGATGTTCCATGTAGTCTTTTGAGACCTAATAGCTGTGAGGTTTTCACAGGAATGGGATGTTCACTCGGCACATTGATGAATTATTGTTTGTTTCTTTTCCTTTGTGTAACGGAGGCTTCTGGGCTATTTTTGCAAGTGTTAAAACAAGAGATATAAACTGCTGCTATGTGAGCTGTAGGGTGGTTAGATCAGGCARAGGACAGTGGATAAAATGTGAATTTGATGGTGAAGCATTATAAGTGTATTCATGTCACCTTTCAAGTGTGTTATGAGCTTTGTGGGCAATGTATTGGAAACATGTAGAAAATAAATGGTCTCATAAATAATTGCAGTTGCACTAAAGGTTAAAATGCAAATTTTGCCTTTTGCTCAGGGAATAAAATCAAAATGAAAAACAAGAATCGCCACACTTTTTATTTCTAATGAAAAAAACTCCTACAGTTGAACTTTTAAAGCTGTTTACAACATTTGTGATAAAACGGGGACCTAAAAATATGAGCATCTGCAACCACATTTTTGGTTGTGACATTCAAACACTGAAAAGTGTTTATTGTTTCATTGCATAATGGGTTCAGTAGGACTGAAGAGATGAACAAAGCACACACACACACACACACACACACACACACACACACACGTTCTGGCAAATCTGTAAACACGCAGCCTAGTGGAGCCAAAGCTGCTGACCAGCATCTATCAAAACAAAGCACACACACACACACACACACA